GCTCACCGCACTGGGAGGCTGTGGCCACAGAGCGAAGGTGGATGGCCATCTCTCTGGCTGTTCATGCTTACATTTTAAATGTCTTTAACCCTGATGTGCAATCTCTGGTTGGTTCATTACCCTGTTTCTAAGTGGATTTTATGGTTATCGTGGTAGTTTTAAGTTATTTTCTTGTGAGTGGAAAACTTTGTGTCTGTGCCTTCTCTCTGCAAACCATCCAGAAATCTCATCACCGCGGTGTGGTGAGATTTCTGGTGAAGTGGCCAAAACAAGTTTAACTAAGGCAGCTGAACTTGCCTGGTTAAATCTGAGTCTTTTCTTGAAGGATTGATTGGGTGGCATTTTGCGTAGTGTGTTCAGGGCAGTTTCCTGTTTCTTTCCAGATGAGAAGTAGCTGCCTGCCTAAGTGCAGTGTGATGTATGCTAATGAGACGGCTTGTCGGCACAGTAGTTTACTGCATCGTCTGTGGGGGTTCCATGTGAGAGGCTGCGCGAACGTGGTTTAAAACCAGGCAAAGACTGCAGACTCACACTCAGCTGCTGGGTGGGGTCGGGAGAGCCGAGGCTGCGTCTTGATAATGCTTGTTCTGAGGAAGGTGTGAGGAGACAGCTTGTGCGTGGCCTGACGCAGATTAAAGGTCCTTGTGACATCCCACAGCTTAGAAATACCTTTATCTCCAATCAGGTAATAAAGGTAACATTCTACTTTGGGGAGCTCCCATCGAGGAGATGGGTTGACATTTTTGACAGCAGGAGGGTGTGCAGTGACGGCTCGGTGACAGGAGCAGCTCGGGGAGGGACGCATCTAAACCACCTGGTCCCCCCCGTGCCCTCTTCACTCGCAGATCCCACCGCACACCTGGCGGGGCTGGTGGGGGCGGCCGTTGGCGCCAGGGATGAACTGGATGGTTTTCTGGCTGGGGAGCTGGTTCTGATACGGTGACCATGTTTATTTACGAAGTTAACGACCCATGTGCTGTGTTGAAAATGGTGCAGTGTAACGCGTTCGCTTTTGTTTTCTTGTTTTCTTTTCTTTTTGGCGTTTGAGCTCGTAGTCTTGCTGAGGCTCTGCGTTTGTAATGGTCGGTGCTCTGCCGAGCGGCACTTTTGCTGTCAAGTTTACGAGCAGGTGTACTTACAAGGTTTTTTCCTGAAGGTTGTTCCTCTTTGAAGAACTTCCTAAAGAATTAGTGTGATAGTTTTTATCTTAATGTTCAGTATTTAATCTCTACTTTGTTTTCTACACTCATGACTTCACTGCTCAGAAGCTTTTCAGTCTTTGTAAAATGTGTGTGTGTGTGTGTATATATATATTTATACTCTGGATTGTTCCACAATATTTGAACAATGGTGGAAAATATATTTGCTCTTAGAATCGTGTGCTAGTAAGACATGTCGTAATAAAGAGAATGCTTTTCTTAAGTCTCGTCTCTGGTCTGAGGTCTGACTCCTAGCAAGTAGAAAATCGTTCATAAAGCCCGTGTCCGCCCCCTTCCCCATCACAAGCACAGGGTCCCGTCATTACGCCCGCGCGGTCGCCCTCACGGTCTCACGACATTGCTCCTCTTCCCTCACGCCTCCCGTCACCCAGCGGGACCAGTTCCGCGGACTCCTCCTCCAGGGAGGCCACCCATCTGTCTGCTGCTGGCTCCCTAGCTCCCTGGCCCCGCCCACCTCCGGGAGGCTCTTCCTAAATTTGAGCTTATCTCCTCGCCTGCTTCTACACAAGAGCTCTCAGTGCGCGCTTCTGCGCACAGACCAGCACCGAACAGAGCTCGGCGTCCGACCCCTCCTGCCACAGCTGCCAAAGCACGGCCCGCTCAGCGCCTGCCGGCAGCCGCAGCGCACCCCGGCCCCAGGTGTGGCTGAAGTAGGCGTACCCCCACCACGCCGCCCGGTCCCGCCCGCCCTGCACAGCCTGTCGTTATAAAGGCTCAGTCTGCTTAACTGAATGCTGCCGCCTTCTCGGACCTCCTCCTGCTCGGTCC